GTGGCGCGGGGGACCGGGGGGGCAGCCTGCGGCGCCGCTCGCCCCTCCCGTCGGCGGTCGCTGTGGGTCACCTGCAGATGTTTTGGGGTCCAGGCTATTGTGGGTGGGGGATAGAAAAGACTCCCCCTGCTTCTCAATCTCCTGTTGAGAAAAGGGAGCATTGACGATGTTGGGGAGAGAGCCTGGAAGGTGGTAGCAGAGTAAACACCGACTCCCCCTGCAATATCGTCTTTCTGAAAATAACATATTCTGAGCTTCACCTTTAGAAGGAAAGCCCGCCCTTTAGAGACAGGCAGTCTTGGTCTGTTGGACTCTGGTTTGATTGTATAATAATGATGATATAATGCTAATGACGATGATGACACTGCCTTTTATTTTTACCCCAGTGCTGATAAAGCGTAGCGACAGCTAGGGATAAAGCCCTTGAAAAGCTGAGGAGGAAATACTGTTGCTTTTGGAGCTGCGTTTTATTCATTTATTTTTTTTAAGGATATGTTTTTTAGAATGAAAATTTGACAGAATGAAGCCTGACTCCTTTTTTCTAGTCAGTTATAGCCAGTGTTCATAAAATGGGGACTGGCTACTACTACCTCGAGTAATGAAAAGATAAAGGTTTTTACCGGATATAATTCCATATGTTAAGTCACCCTTCCCTTTGCATTTCTCAACAGTGTTTAAGATGAAGAAGTTTAATTTCCGAAAAGTTTTGGATGGTTTAACTGCCTCTTCCCCGGGCAGTGGTAGCAGCAGTGGCAGTAACAGTGGCAGTGGGGCTGGAAGTGGTTCGGTGCATCCAGGAGGGACTGCAGGGATTCTCAGAGAGGAGATCCAGGAAACTCTGACTTCAGATTATTTCCAGATCTGCAAGGTAAGTTTCGAATTGGCTTACGGCCTATTACTTCTTTATTTTACTGTTGCGAGGAAACAAGAGACTAAAAAACACACCAGGGACTGGTTATTATTGAGATGCCAGCTCGAAGTTGAGTCTACTGCAGAGAACCCTGTGAATAGGTCGGTTTGAATTAATAAAGAAATTTCAGATATCAATTTCAGCATCAAATGGAAAAACAATAGTAGTTTAGGGAAAATTGGCACAAAGAAAAAGTAGAATTTGTAAGATGATGTAAGGCCAAATAGATGACAAAACTTTTAATACATTCTTTGTGTACAAATAGTAAACTGGAGGAGAAAATAGTCATTTGGTTTCCTGTGTTAAAATTCAAAGAAACTAATTGTTATTTTATTTCACTATTTGCTATAAAATGAATAAAACTATTGTTATGTTGCTAGAATTAAATGGATAACATCTAGATAAATACATTTATTTTAAAGGGTCCAGTGGCATAGTTTTAAAATTCTGATTAAAAACACCACAGGTTTGTAAACTCTTCATTGATATACAAGGAAATAAGCAAATAAGTAAGTGCTATGGGCTTAATACTTGTAAGAACTTGTAATACGAGTACTTGTAATACTTGTAAGAACTCAAAATTAGCCAGGGTTCTGGTCTAGAAAGAAAATATTTTAGGTAATTGCTTGGATTTTTGAACTTCTAATGAATAACCTAAAGAAAGAGCTTCTGATACTGAGAGAATATGAGAATTTACAGCGTATTATGTTAATACATGTTGTTACATTTTCTGACATAAGTTGATTTATCATTTTTATTGTCCTTTTTGTGAGGTTGCCTTGGAATGTACTTTTGATCTGCTATTGCAATGAAAGTTACTAAGTCATTCATATGGTTTAAATGAATATAGTTTTATAAATGTGTTTGACTAAATAAGAATTAGTAAACTTTTGAAATTGTAGAAAGTAAGTACCGCTTTTTTTGATACTTCCACAAAAGAAAAGTTTTCTTTTTTTTTGAGAGTTTTTTTTTTTTTTTTTGCTGTAGGGCCTGTGTGCTGGCCAGAAAGAGAGATACAGAGAGACAGAAAGCAAGAAATCACCCCACCCCAGTGGGATGGCCATGCCACAATCCTTTCTCCTCCATTCTCCTCTCGGGATACTGGGCACGCACGCACATGTACCTGGCGTGAGTTTAAGCCCCTGGGTCTGGGACTTGAACCACTGTCGACTACATGGGAGCCCAGCGACATAGTCATTACACTAACTGCTAGTCCCAAAAGAAAAGTTTTCTTAAATCCTTTTTATTAATAAATGAATGATATATAGTAAGTTTCACTCATTGCCTCAGCCTCTATCCCTAGCAGGGTCATTATTAAAAATTAAATCTATGGTTACTAATTTACATAAAAATAAGTTTATTTAGATTTGGGTTAGACGAACTGATTTAATTCTGACCTAACCTGTGAAATTTGTATGCAGTACAAATTTTTTTTTCTTAATATGATATAATAGATATTCTTCCAGATTAGGGAAGGGCTTGATAGTGGTCATGAAACAAATTTGTGAAAGAGTCCTGGATGCCAAATTGGAACTACTAGACAGAGGAATTATGCCCTGATTCTCTAGTCCTTGATATATTGCTATTTCCATTTGCATATTGTAAAAAAAATGTCCAAATTCACTGTATTTATGGATGCGAGAGTGATGCAGGAGTATTTTAATACAGGTAAAATTGGTATAGAAAAGATGGACTACTGAAGCAAAATGGCACTGGGCCACTCTCTGCATTGAGGTCATAAAGTTGGCAGAGAGGGTTTTAAATAAAAACTTTTGGGTAAATGGGTGAATGCAAGAGAGAAAAATGCAATATGTAGTTATCTTTCCTGTTTATTCAGACAAGAGATAGTCATAGAAAGTGGTAGAAGTTAAATACATAGAACTTTAAAATCCTATAGCACTGTAGGAAGAACACTGTCCTAGAAATCAGAAAACTTGTGGTTTATTTAAAGTTCTGCCCCTTGCTAGCCATATAATCTTGGGGAAGGCATTTATCTTCCTTGAACCTACATTTCTGCATCTGTAGTATGGGAATAAATATTTCTGCTCTTTTCACCTAAAAGAGGATTATTACAAAGATCAGACAAACCAATAAGGTGATGGCTATACATAAATTGGAAGGGATGATAAAAAAATATATTTATATTATTATTAAAGTTTTTAAAATCACCTTGTTTGTACTAGAATAATTATACTAATATTAGGTAATGATTTTCAAAGAAATTAAAAGGATAGATAGCTATGTAAACTGTGCACTAATAGTATGGAAGTATTACTAAATGGGAAAATACTATAGTACCTTCGGATAGGAAAAGAGTTAATTTGGAAAAGTCATTATATTATTATATTACAGGTTACCTGGTCTATAATAGAATGTGTAAAAATGGATTAAGGAAATTCTGAAATTAGAACTGTTACTGAAATGGAGATTTCATTTAGACTCACTGATTAAATGTGCAAAGAATGTTCTATTCTGAGTACTAAGAAGTTTACACCTTATGGGTATCTCTACCTTTTCTACATGTCCAAAAATTAAAACATAAATCTAGGCTTTGCTCTTTTGAAAACCATCCTTCTCTTTACTCTCTGATGAGTTATCAAATCGTATTTTATTCTATTTCCTTAGTATTTCTGAAATTTATGCTCTTTCTCCACTCCTAGTATTTGTACATTACATCATATTTTCTTGCTTGGTCTCTTTAAATCAGTTTCTAACTGATCTCACTTGCTTTATGTTATCACATTTAATTTTGTTATAATAGTGGTTATTTCTGAAATCCAATGTTAATTATGTCATTTCTCTGCTAAAAATTCTATGTTGGTTTCCCAACAACAAAAGTCTTATGTGAAATTCCAGTAAGATTTATTAAAAGAAAGGTGATACTTTATTGGCATTCATTTGTTCTATAAATTATAATAATAAATTATACTGCCAATCAATAAAGCATTTGTGTTTTTATATGTTATGTAATATCATAATAGTCAGGTAGTAGAGCATTCACTAGCCTTACAAAAGTAAAACATAAAGCTAATTCCTTCACAATCGATGATCTATCCTTAAGAAGCTCAAAAACACAGAAATGGGAGAAATGGCTTTAGTTCAAGGTCAGCAAAATCAAGTTAGTGCACTGGTTTACTGCAATCTCTTGTTAGTTTGGTCTGTATGTATTTGAATGCCCATGTTGTTCAGGTATTTGTAAAATACACGAACTACCTTTCTTCAACTTGAATTCTGTGAAACACAATTTGAAACTACAGCTCTATACAATAAATGTCAAACTGCTGCACTTGATTTGTGTATAGTTCCTGTCAGAGGAGATTCTTGTTTACCTTTAGTCCTCACTTCCTTGATTTCCTAGGCATACTATTGAACATTCCCTAAAAGCATCGTATCTTCTCATAGCTCAATGCTTTTTAAAATTCTATTGCCTTTGACTAGAATATCTCTCCCACCTTTAATATAATTGGAGAACTCCCAGTTATCTTTACCTCATAGTGCAAACACTAACTCCCTGAGACTGTCTCTGACCACTGTCTTACTATCTACCCACCAGGATTATAATTTTTCCTCTCATCTCTGTTTTCCTTTACCACCTCTGTTTTCTTATATATATTTCCTATATATTGGCATATACCTATAGTGTGAATATAGAATCTTTTTATAATTAATTATTTTCAATCTTTCACTGCCATTATACTATGAACTTTTTAAAAAGCAGATGTGTTTTTTGTTTGTTTTGTTTTCTTATCATTGTTAGTACATCCTCTAACTAGTAAGGGCAGTGGTTCTTACTTCTGGCTGTGTAAAAGAGAGATGTCTAGTCTCATTCCATTGTTAAAGAATCCAAATCTGTAGGGATGGGGCCTAGGCATTTGTGTTTTTAAAGAAATCCCCACAGGAAATTCTTTTTTTTTTTTTTTCCTTTGGAGAAGTTTTGCTATAGGGCACGTGCGCTCACCAGAAAGACAGAGACAGAGAGAGAAAGCGAGAAATCACCCCTCAGGGGGTATGGCCACGCCACAGTCCCTTCTCTTCCATTCTCCTCTCGGGATCTTGGGCATGCATGCACATGCGCCTGGTATGAGTTTAAGCCACTGGGTCCGGGACTCGAACCGTGGTCGACTACGTGGGAGTCCAGCGACATAGCCATTACACTAACTGCTGGTCCCCACCCCCCACAGGAAATTCTGATGCACAGTCAGTATGAGAACCATTATAGTAGGCACTTCATATGCCTTTTTTAAAAAATTGACTGTAGAGCATATGTGCTTGCTGGAGAGAGTGAGAAAGTGAGACAGCACCCAGAGGATGGCCACTCTGCAATCCTTTCTCCTCAGTTCTTCTTTTAGGATTTTGAGCATGCATGCACATGTGCCTGGTGTGTTTTTCAAGCTGCCATGTCTGAGACTTGAACCTCAGCCTGTGGGTTCCAGCAGCCTTAACTGTCATGCCACGGCTGGCCCACCATGTCATATACTTTTTAAGTTAATGAAGGAGCATGTGCATGGTTAGTTGGTTAATGGAAAAGTAATTAAAACAGAAATTAATATGAATGATATATTTCTAACATATCAATTAATAATAAACTAATATTAATATATTAATAATTATACATGTTTTAAATATTTTGCTTTTTTTGAGAAGTATTTTTTGCTATAGGGCATGTGCGCTCGCCGGAGAAACAGAGAGATACAGAGAGACAGAGAGAGACAGAGAGACAAAGCGAGAAATCACCCCCAGGGGGATGGCCACGCCACATTCCCTTCTCCTCCATTCTTTTGGGATTTTGGGCACGCACGCACACGCGCCTGGCATGAGCTTAAGCCGCCGGGTCTGGGACTCAAACTGAGGTTGACTACATGGTAGTCCAGCGACATAGCCATTATGCTAACTGCTGGTCCCAATATTATGCTTTAATTGAAAATAAATATACATTAATTTACAAATTACTTGATATA